TCACCACCACCACCATTATGATATTGTTAAGGGAAAATGACAAATTGCAGTGAAAATCGAGAATGAGTTGGTAGGAAGAAAAGGACTGAGAGGGAGAGCTTTTCATACAACCCTCATAACCTAGGAAGAGACGCGCTTTATATTAAGCCCACATTCATCTTATTATATGAATCGCTCAGCAATATATGTATATACACACACACACATACCTATGCCTTATTGCCTTAATAAACTTTAGGTATGATGGCCGACTCCATTATATATTGCAAACACTATTTATTAATTCTTCAAGAACCAACAAGATCTTTTGTTAACCTTAAACTCTTATTCTTTAGTTGTAGAATTCTTCCACAAGGTTAGCCATGCCGACACTTATAATTTTGTTTTGTTAGACTAAATACTTATTGGATTTCTTATTTTTGAGACTCGGCTGTGTGAGTTTTTGGTTCATTAGTCATTTCAACCAACATTGATATGAATAGTTATATGTAGCTTTAGAAATTAGCTAGCTATCCAAATCAACAATGATCGGCATGGGTTTTGTAACCGAAAGGTTACTCAGCCTGTATTGTGTATGACATGTCATACTTATTATGCGTGTCTTAGTAAGATTTACATACCATGTAACGAAGGGACTAGTGAGAATATTAGATGGGAGAGAATCAATTAAGTTAAATTACATACAAAAGTAGATAGAGAAAATCATGTTGTGTACACAAATGTGACGTATATACTTGTTCGTCGCATTGTGAGGTTGGTTTCTGAAAATAAAAAATTAACTTGCGGTGTGCATTTACATTCTTTTTACAAAGTGGTCCGTATGCTTGCCCAAATGGATGGGTATATCCTTGGAACAAGGCTGCAGCTATGAAGCTTATTTGGTTTTTGGTCGTTGACTCAGGCTTATCTGTTAAAGCAGAAATGTTTTTAGCAGGTTGTTCCTACTGTACTACAGATAGATTGCGGAAGTGAAATCCTTCTTTGAATGATGTTTGCCTTCTCTGTGGATCTTTCCCTGAATCTAGGGATCACTTTCTATTTTCTGAGTGTCCTATTTCTTGTGAAGTCTGGAGCTTGCTTTATAGATGCTGTGGTATTCAAAGAATAAGGCAGAGTTGGAGTGTACGAGTTGCAGTGGATTTGTGCTAGTTGGAAGGGGAAGGCTATTACTAATGATGCTTGCAAGATTGCATGGTGTGCTGTTGTTTACCTCATCTGAAATCTGGAGCTTGCTTCATGATGATAGTTTTCTTGTTTCTAGTAGTGGCATTATGTCCAGGGTCAAATGTGATGTTTTGTTTGGGTCTTGGCAGCATCCAAAGCAGTAATTTGTTTAGTTCAATTTCGGGTAGGCAAATCTGTGGTAACTGGAGACTCTTGACCTGAGTTGCTGTATTTCTTGAGTTTCCATTCTAATCCTTTCTGTCATTTGTAGCAAGATTCTCCAGCTTTGTTTATTTCTGTCGCTTATTGTCTTACCACATATAGTTCCATCGAAGCGTTTGGCTAATTATTATTCGACAACGGGGAGGATTTTAAGAGGTTCATATCAAGGAGTGTGGAAAACATGCTTGGCTTAATTTGGGTTAGCGTGTCCAAAGGGTTCATTCTCTCAATGATCGACAAGTCGATGACAGTTAGTACTAACCATAGAATCGCGCCTTTTCTTCTGTAATCACGCTCAGCATATAATATGCTATTAAATAATATTGTCTGAACCCCAAGCAAAGCAATTTTCTACCATTCGCCAGATGAACACATGATGCACGATGGAATTTTTTCGTCCACAAATCTCTGGAATCTCCACATCTTCTTCTTTTCATTCCCATTCGAACCCAACTTGACATGTATGAATTGCATCTTGTTAATGATCAGGTTTGATTTGGTCTGCTGTCCATAACTTAATATAGATGTTGGGGGATGCTCTAACCCAGTTTGTTGTTACGAATACATTATGGGGAAAAGAATACCCAAATGAAAAACATACATTTCAGTGTCTAGATAATCAATCATAGAGAAGAGAAAACAACCTTATATAGGAAAGTCTTTGACAAATTGTGTAGCCGAATAGGACAAATTTAAGTACGCCTATACATCACTATTCATTTCGTGGAAAATGAGATGAATTTGAAGGCAATAAAGAAAGGTTGCTTCTCTTTTGGGTGACGGTGGGGTTTTGTCAACTCTCCTAACTGAGTCAATAATTTCTTCTCCAGCTGTTACAATTAGAAGATATGGGTGTCAATAAGGCTACTCATTGGGTAAACACTCGCATAAAATCAAAGTTGTGAGACTTTTGATTGGAGTTAGAGCTGTAAATCATTCGTCAATCCCTGACGAGGAATCTTTCTAGAGAAACTACCGACATTAGGTACACAAGTGACAACACATCGGGTAGGGCTCATTTGATAGATAGCGTGTGGCGGACAAGAAGAACTACAGTGTTGGAGCTATATAAAAACTTTTTTATGGCACTTTCTAGTCGGCATAGTTGGTATTTGGTGCAAAGGTTTAGAACTCATTGACAAAATTGGAAAGTATAAGAATTTTAGGACTGAAATGATAATTTTTCCTAGTGAAATGAGTTAAACTAGCGTTTGGTAGTCCTGATTTGAGTCAGAATAGGATAACAAAATATCCTATCTGGTGTTTGGCGATGCCCTCTAGACCACATAAATCCGGATATACTAATACCATATAAGAAATCCGAGCAAGGGCGTGGGATAATCCTGACGGGATAATTTTTTTTTAAAAATAACTTATCTATTTTCTTCCAACAATGGATTGATGGAGTGACGCATCCGACTTCACCTGCTACCCCACAATCGATCATCATCATTTTGACCATCGTGCAATTGTCATTGCCTCTAACCACTGCCGATCATCATTGTTGTTCAAGCGATCGTGCTCCGATGACTGAGAGTGAAAATGAGAAGTTATACATCACATGGCCACCACTATCGAAGAATTTGAATGCTTTCATGAGTGCACCGAATCCATTGAGGTCATCATCCACAATAGAGGCATGTCTGCCCTCATTACTTGTTGTCCCAGTGCTGTCCACTGGTGGATCTCCGTCCACCTCCTCTTCGCCCTTCACTACCCCTAGTTCGTCGCTTTGATGTCAAGTGAAACCTGAGCTTTGTGCATGGCATCCACCACCCCATCACCACCCTTCACATTTACATCAAACATTGCTGCCTCATCTACCAGATCGCTGCAGCCACTACCTCCCCCGCTTGCTCCGTAACACCGTCGGTGACCTGAGGCTCATCTTCGCCGATGTCTAAATCACCTATGATACGGTGAAGCTTAGCGAGGACTATGATTTGAAGGTAGCGATGGTAGTAGATCTAGCAAACCTGGTGGTGAAGGAGACGAATCGGAGGAACCTGAAGAGAGCGGGTTTGAGATGATGGTGAGGGAGCTCAAACGGTGAGATTTGGATATTGCCCGAAATTGGGCCAAGCAAGTGAGATTTTCAAATATTTTCAAAAATTTTAATCCTATCTTGGATTTTACCAAACATGTGATGAGATTTTCTATAATTCGGAGGATACTTGAAAGATTTCTAATCCCATATTATTCTATCTCACTCCAATTCAAATTCGGACGACAAAATGCAGCGACTTGCGCCAAGCTTTCTTAAGGGTAGACAACATCACATTCTCAGCCTCGTAGTCATTGAATTGATATTTTCCCAACTCGTGAGCTTACTTTTTAAAATTGTTATCGCGCGAAATCGGTTAATGTTTTCTAGAAATATCTCTGACGCATATCCTAAACATTAAACCCATCTTCTAGCTCGCATGCCATGCTCACCTTCTAAGAGCTATTCGATTTTCTTTAGAGTTGATATTTTTCCCAACTCATGAGCTTACTCTTTTTTAAATAGTTACGACCAACATGGAAGCGTGAACAAATCAAAAGGAAGCGACCAAGAAGTAAAAACTGCACAAATAAAACCTAAACACAAGGAATTTATGTGGTTCACTACATATAGAGAGATCAATGGAATTGGTCCTCTATAATCGGTAAAGATGAAATATGTTCGCTCAATCATACTCACTCACAAGTGGATCTCAATCTTAGATTAAACCCACACCCACAAGAATCAATCACAAGAGGGAGTTTTCTCGCTTTTGGATAACTACTCTCAATACTCGCGTCTCTCACAAGTTTCAAACAATGTTAAGCACACGCACTAGACACTAGAGACCAAGCTCAACAACATATTTACATGCAAATACATAATAGCCCTTCTTTGACGCCAACATAAGACTTCAACAACAATAAGGAAAAGATGTCTAGCGAGAAACTAATTTCTCTTTTTTTGCATCACCCACGGTTCTGTTGGCTATAGCTCAATTAGGACTTTCCTAGTACGGTCGGGTTTCCTTGCAATTTTAATTGTGCGTCCGATTTCAAATCAATTGGGATTAATTTTGAGCCATAATCAACATGAAATAAGAACTATTCCCCCGGCAAAGCACGTGTGCTATTCTATTTTCTTTAGTAGCCTCCACCTCGCCTGGACATAGCTTCCATATTCAAGCACAAAAACACAATCCCACACAATTTCAAGGACCCCGTTTTCAATACAATCATATATATTCTATAAGGCGGTTGCTAACTAACCTTATTTGACTTAGCTTAACGAGTACTTCGACCAGTCGTTCGCTAAATCTGCTAAATTTTTAAAGTATAAATCCATGTAGCATGGAACAGTGAAAACACGAGCTTTAAATAAAAACAAGACAAAAGTGAAAGTAAAACTTTACGGTCACAGTCATGAACAGCAAGGTCAAAAAGTTGAGAGGTAACATTGACATTTTGATAGATGACAGATGTCGAAAGGCACTGTGTTTCCAAACACAGAGGACAAGCCCATTATTGTATGGACACTTTCATTTAATTAAGAGGAGACTTGCAACAACTCGCTCTGCTTTAAATATCACTAGCCCTTATGTTCGGACTCTGCAAGCACAGGGAACACTGCAAATACTCATCTCTCTTTCTCTCTCTCTCGAAGTTTCTGTCAACATCCGAGAGTCTCATTGACTCTCAAAACTATCTTCCTGGGAGCATAACGTTATGGCATTGAAGTCATCAGAAAGGCCAAAACCCAAGCACAGGAAGGGATTGTGGTCACCTGAAGAAGACCAGAGGCTCAGGAACTATGTCCTCAAGCATGGCCATGGTTGCTGGAGCTCTGTCCCCATCAACACCGGTAAGTTTTCATGATATACTTCTTTATCATATGCTGTATAAACATGAAATTCTAGTGTTCAATGTATGACCAGGCAAATTTGACAAAGCTTGTAAAGTGATTGCATTGCCTTATAAATAATTTGGAAAGCCCCGCACTGGCCATAGCTAGTTAGCTATATGAAGTATGCATTGTTCAAGGAAAAGAGTGTTTTTTGTTTTCAACGACTAGATCAACTAGATGATTGTTCATTTTATTCACTCTTTTTCCGGTTGAACTATGCATGCGAGCTCTATATATATGGTTCGTGATATATGTACGAATGTGCAGGCTTGCAGAGGAATGGCAAGAGCTGCAGATTAAGGTGGATCAATTACTTGAGGCCTGGCCTAAAGAGAGGCATGTTCACTGTGGAAGAAGAGGAGATTATTTTGTCCCTCCATCGCTTGATAGGCAACAAGTAAGCGCAACAGCTTAATGACCTAAACAATTATGAGAGCTTAAATATTTAACCAGTGTATAGTAATACATTTATTCACCATGATATTAATAAAGCTTTTAGCAAGTTCTTAAATTTTTGTTTGAAGGAGTAAGTGAATAGTGATGAGGGATATGTTTGTTTTTTTGTGGGTTAGGTGGTCCCAAATAGCAAAGCATTTGCCAGGAAGGACCGATAATGAGATAAAGAATCACTGGCATTCTTATCTTAAGAAGAGGGGGGCAAATAAGACCGAATCATCATCATCCTCATTAGATGCTTACCACCATGCCCAAAGTCAATGTACCAATTCCGACAATGTGGAATCTTCGCCTCCTCCAGATCAAATCCCCACATCAAAGGAACGAAAGGAAAAGCCATCGTTTGACTTACCGAGAGATGGCCCACGCAGCTTCTTGCCCAAGGTTTTCTTCGCGGAGTGGCTGAATCAAGATGATCAAGGGAATGATGTTCCGAACTACGGCGCTGCTTTCGATGACCGCTCAAATCTTCAGGACCCTCTTGTGCATGATTTGTGCACAAGCGATTTTAGAAATTCCTACGGCGGTGAATATGTTGGTAACGACCTAAGTAATGGGTCTGTTAGTGCAAGCGCGAGCGACATGTATAGTTCACAGTTGAAGTTGGAGATGGATCAGGTTTCGGGAGGTGATTATTACTTGGATTATTTTTCTGGGGATGACATTTGCAGTCAGTTCAACATGGGCAGTGATGTAAACGTGACAATGTACACATGAGGGGGGTTCAATCTTTATATTTACATGGAGCATGCATAAAAGAATAATTTGTACGTACGTAGTCATACTTTTTTTTTTTTGAGGGTGTGTTTTCGTCAATGAAAGTGCATGGCATACCCAAAAAAAGGTACCGCCTGTAAGTTACAACAGAAGCCTTTCGTCTGAAATCATTTTAATAAACCCGGGCAGGTTAAAAAGAGTGAAGCTTCTTATACAGTAGGCTATGAAAGTCAGATGGTGTATCGGTTAACAAAATCCTTTTCACTTGCTCATGGAAAAATTCAAGAGAGAGATCAGGCTGGAACTTTCCAGAATACATTAAGTTAGGACCATTCTTATTAAATCTTAAGCATTTATGATCCAACTAGATATATATTAATGCTACATATATCATATTCATTAACATCAATAATGTGAAGATTAAGAAAGCATTATGAATTTTTACATAAGTTTGGAGTGCGCAATGAAGGCCTGATACCTTCACTCTAGGAGCCGAAAGGGGCTCAAGTTCAAGCCCGTTAACATATTTTGTTCGGAAAATTTCAAATAAACGCCTGAAGTGGATCTTGTCTCAAATAAGAATTTGAAGTGGCCAAATTTTCTCAAATAAGGGCTCGAAATAGCCAAATCGTCTCAAATAAGTACTTTTGGCCGGCCGACGACTATTCTTGCCATTGGAGAAGGGGTATTTTAGTCAATTTTTTTTAAGTATATTTTTTTAATTTTTTTTACTTTCCTTTTCTTTTTCTTTTCTTTTATTTTTTTTTTCTTTTCCCTCTTCCTTCCCCCACCATCGCTGGTAACCTCCGCTGGCCTCAGGCGAGTGCTGGCCTCGCCAGCCTAGGTTAGGGCGAGGGTCGCCCTCGTCAGCGTCGGGCGAGGGTCGCCCTCGTCAGCGTCGGGCAAGGGTCGCCCTTGCTTAGGCGAACGAGCACCAGCCTCGCTGGGCTGGCGAGGGCGAGGGTTTTCCTCGCTGGCGTCTGGCAAGGGTCGCCCTCGCTTGGCTCGCTATCCCAAGTGACAGTTCCCATCGTTAGTTTTGGGTGAGGGTCGCCCTCGCTTGGGCTGGGTGGGCGAGGGTGGCTCTCGCCTAAGTCTGGCGATTGACGTTGGCGATGGCTGGTGGAGGGAAGAGGGAAAAGAAAAAAAGAAAAAGAGAAGTAAAAGAAAAGGAAAAGAAAAAAAAATAAAAAAAAGTAAAGGATGAAAATGTCCTTCAGCCAGCAAGGTTAAACCCTTATTTGAGACAAGATCCACTTCAGGTCTTTATTTGAGAAAAGGAGGGCACTTCAAGTATTTATTTGGAATTTCCCCTATTTTGTTGGAACTATCGTCACTCAAAAGCTTAAATTAATAAGTTATAATCTAACTAAGATATATTAATTACTCTACACCACTTCACTTATATCAGGTATTTTTCTAAAACTACTCACATGTATATTGTAACATTCCTCCCTTCACGTGTGAATTCAGTGTTAGGTTTGCTTTATCTTAATTTAGCTATCCTTATGCATCAACTTATCTCAATTTAAATCTCCAGTGGCCACCATCATCCCTAGTCTTTTTCTCTAGACCGAACCATGTAGGCTGCCATCGAGATCCTGTTGTTACACCACAACATCCACTTACCTGAAAACCGTGTTGCTACACCGCAACGCCCAAAAGCTTGCAAAAGCAACTTCAAAGAGAGTTTAATATGGCTGGAAAAGCATCATAAGAAAAGGGATATTTTACAGAAAATTTCCGAAAGGAATTTGTTTTCGATGTGGTTGTGTTTTCCTAACTCCTGTCCTTTGCAACCCTCGCCGAGTTTGTCTCTCTATCCGAGCTTGCCTCCTCTAGATAGGTACCGACTTCTAGCTCTTCCATGGCCGGTGATCGCTCGCTTGTACGACACCGAAGAAAATGAAAGGATGCCTTGACTTTGTATGTACACAATGGAAGGGCGGAGTTCTTCTCCAGCTTCGCTACTTGTAGAAACTGTAATTAAACAGCAGAATCACACACACCACACCAGTGCCCACCTACTTCCTTAAAATGCGCTGATTATAATAAGACCTTTACGTTGTCAACTAAGTGATTGTTTTAGATGGGAAAATTGCTTTACTTAGAGTCTGTGACTCTCTCAATTCACGAGTACTCGCACTGTTGATTTCATTGAATGACCTTTATGACACAAAGGGACAAACGAAGGCAAAGAAAAGTCGATATTTCTTCTTTTGCTCAGCTTTTTTCCGTGCATGTGAAGTGAAGAAGAGTATGAAGCGTGATTGTTCTTAGATCACAAAATTGATGTCATTAAAAGATTCAGTATTAGAACGGTAAGAGCTTCATGGCCAAAAGCTAGAAGACTGAAAGGAGACGATCCAGCCCTAAGATCATCAGCACTTGTTACTTGACCCAAGGGTTGGGCTATATTAAAGCCTAATAAGCTGTCCAAGCTCGGCCCTTCACTTGCAGCAATCTATCCTCTTTTTCTTTAGCTGAGTTTCAATTATATTGACCCCCTTGATGAGAAAGCTTGTATGCATGAATACACCTGTTTACATATATGTATATACGAGTCTAAATATGTAACGGGCCTAACATTTGTAATTCGTCGTACTGCCAAGTGAGAAACAAGCAAACTCAAATATAGAGTGGTCATGATCTTTCATTCTTTTCCATGACATCATGTAGGTTCAAAACGCAGATCAATGGTAATTACTAATCATCATCACATCACAGCTCATTTTTCTGGCCTCACAAACTGAAATTTCAATTGTATCAACTGAGCTTCATAAGCTTCAGACAGTGAAACTCTCTGTGATGCCCATAATGCAACAGTAGCAACCGAGCCAATGTGTGTGATAGGCATCCATTTCATCGCTATCGCCTGTGGCTAAACAAGTAGAACGTATCATTGTCAACTAAGATCATGTCACTGCACGAGTTCTATAATCTCAAACTTGTGAAGTCATGACTAGATCATATAGTTATGTAATCATATTGATGTATAGACTATGGTCCAAAATTTTCTAAATAGATTGAAGGACTTTACAGCTTAGTAGTTTTCATACATCCATAAGCCATAAACCCCAAATAGGCAAAATGGTCACATTCATCACCATCGTACTTTCGAGAATTTCAGGACATAAGGAAATATGTCGATGCAATTTTTCCTTTCATAATTGTACGTTCAGGCAATGAAGCAACAGCAGAATAAAAAATGAGAGGATGTTCACGTAAACTTCTCGTTCTTCATCCGGGGGAAAAGCATAAAAAAAGTCATAAACTTATTGCATTAGTACCAATTTAGTTCTAAACCTTTTAATTGAATCAATCTAGTCCTAAACCTTTTTATATTGATATCAATTCAGTCCATCTAGCTAATTTAGGCCAGAAATCGTTGACATGAATATTGGTCGTCTTACGTGGCATGGCTGGCGCTGATGTTGAATTATTTAAAAATGTTTTTTTTCCTTCCTTTCCTTCCTTGGGCCTGTGGCCGATACTTAGCCATGGCCTGCGACCGGCCACAAGCGAGGGCGTTGCGGCCCTTGCCGGCCACAAGGGAGGGTCACCCTTGCCGGTGAAGGCGAGGGTTGGACCTTCATGGCCTGAGCAAGGGTGGTCGTCGTCGGATTTGGCGAGGGTTGAACCTTCGCGGCCTGGGCGAGGGTTGCCTTTGCCAAATTCGGCAAGGGGTCAAGCCTCGCCAGCAGATAGGTGAGGCACGACCTCGCCGGATCTAGCAAGGTTGAGCCTCACTCATGATCAGCAAGGCTTGACCCTTGCCAGATCCGGCGATGGCGAACCTTGCTCGTCTAGTGCAAGGCCACTCTCACGGCCATCCGGCAAGGTCGAAGGCCACGACCTTGCGGCCATTTGGCGAGGCTTGCCTTTACTGTTGCTGGCGAGGGCAAGCCTTGCCTATGGCTGGCGAGGCATGCCGACCCTAGCCTTTGGCCAGTTGCCGAGGTCCGGCAACTAGTTGAAGGAAGAAGAAAGGGAAGGAAAAGAAAAAAAATAGAAAAGAAATTTTTTTTAAAAAATAATTCAAAAAATATTAAAATATTATGAAAAGTTATCCACGTTAGCACCGGCAGTGCCACGTAGGCCGGCCAGCATCCACATCAATAATATCTGGCCAAAATTAGTCGGAAGGACTGAATTGACACTATATCAAAAGGTTTAAGACTAAATTAGCACCAAAAAAAGATTTAGGATTCAATTGACACCAATTTAATAGATTTATGATGTTGACACTTTTCCCAATATTACTAAGTCTCGTAGCAGTTACCAATAGCTAAAAAAATCTGTTTTTTTTAAATATTATTTATGTTTGCACTTGCGAGACTGCAAGTAATTATAGACGGAAAATTTTTGTTATCCCTATCAATCGGGATGATTTATTCTTTGAGAATTTTGCATAAAAAGAAAACTTTTCAAGAGCATCTGCTTTGTTCTTGTATGGGCATTAGTTCTACCTGAAGATGGATAAACCTAAGACTGTATTCACGTTAAACGCAAGTCTTATAGATAATTATTGAGCTGCTATCCATTTACTACTATATTACGATATGATATGATGCGCCCCTTGTGTATAATAGCTATTTATCATAAGGGTTCTTATATATGCATCCACTACAAAAATACTTGCTGACGCAGATGACAGTATCAAACTGCAATGTACGTATTTTAAAACAATATAGACGAAACGGTTCAAGTCAATTCTTTAATGGACCTTGTCTGGTCTGGCAGAACATTTCTGAAACACGACTTTGCCGTAATCAATTTGATAATGATGGTTGGTATAGAATATGGTAGTTGACATTCGAAGCTTCTCTTGCTCCGACCTTAATAGCTAGAGTCGTCAACGATCAGGCTAATGAAAATAAGTCACAGAACATTCACTGATTATGATAAATCGGGCGAATTTCATATCAAACCATAGTGGATCATTTAAAGATTTGCTAATTATGTGAAGATGAAAAGGACGGAAAAGTGACACTAAGAGA